CTTCAGCTTGGATCGTGATTTCATGGTTCATGGGTTCAAGCCCTGCATTGGGCTCACTGCTGTCAAAAATTTCTGTAGAGCAAAAGATCAACAAAATGAAATGCAACCTATAGAACTAGAGAAAATATTTGCAAACCATCTATCTGATAAAGGGTTAGTATTCAAAATATATTTTTAAAAAACTCAAACAACTCAATATAACATGAAAACAAACAAACAAACAAAATGGGCAGAGGATGTGGATCGGATTTTTTTTTCCAAAAGACATACACATAGCCAACAGGTCAGTGAAAAGATAGAAAATGTCACTAATCATCAGAATAAGGCAAATGAAAACCACAATAAGATATTGCCTCATACTGTTAGAATGGTTAGCATCAAAAGCCAAGAAATCACAAGTTTTAGTGAGGATATGGAGAAAAGGGAACACTTGTGCCCTGTTGTTGGAAATGTAAATTAATGGTTTAGCCACTATGGAAAACAGTATGAAAGTTTCTCAAACAATTAAAGATAGAACTACCATATGACCCAGCAATCACATTTTGGTTTATATATCCAAGGAAAGGAAATCTTTATCTTCAAGAGATATCTGACCCCCTTGTTCACTGTAGCATTATTCACAATAGCCATGGTATAGAAACAAACTAACCATCTATCAACAGATGAATGGATAAAGAAATGTGAGGTAGATAGATAGATATTATAAATGTGATATAGACAGGTAGATCTATCATCTATCTATCTATGTATCTATCATTTTTCTATTCAACTACTGTCTATCTATCTATCTATCTATCTATCTAATGAAATATTATTCAGCCATGAAAATATGGAAATCCTACCATTTGTGATAACATGAAGAAAAGTTAAGGACAGTATGCAAAGGAGTTAAGTCAAACAGTGAAAGGTATACTGTATGATCTTACTTACATGTAGAATCTAAAAAAACCTGAATTCATAGAAACAGATAATAGATTGGTGGTTGCCAGAGGCAGGAAATGTGGGATGGGAGAAATGAAGGAAGGTGGTCAAAAGGTACAAACTAACAGTTATAAAATAAGTAGATTCTGGCTATATAATGCACAGCCTGGTGACTATGGTTAACAATAATGTAATGTACATTTGACAGTTACTAAGTTAAAAGATTTACTCACAAGAGAAAATCACAACTACATGAGGTGCTGTACATTAACTAAATTCATCATGGTAATCATTTCAAAAAAGATACATTTATGAACTCATTATGTTGGATACCTTAAAGTAATACAATGTTATATACCAATTATATCTCATAAAAACTGGGGGGGGGGAGACAAGATAGCTGCACACCCATGTTTATTGCAGCATTATTCACAAGAGCCAAGATATGGAAATAACCTAAATGTCCATCAATGGATGAATGGATAAAAAAGATACGGTAAGTTAAGATGGAATTTATTAGGCAGCCAGGAGAAAGAAGGAAATCCTACCATTTGCAACAACATGGGTGGACCTTATGATAAGTAAGATAAATCACACAAATAACAAATACTATAGGATAGCATCCCTATGTGGAATTTAAAGAAACCAAACTCGTAGAAACAGAGAACAGAGTGGTGGTTATCAAAGGCTGGGTTTCAGGAAATAGGGGAGATGTTGGTCAGAATACAAACCTGCAGTTAGGAAATGAACTTGTCATGGAGATCTAAGGCATAGCATAACACTTAGAGTTAACAATGCTGTATTATATACTTTAAAATTGTTAAGAGACTAAATATTAAAAATTCTCACCACATAAAAGTAATGATAATCATATAATAGGATGGAAATGTTAACTAATGCTTTGGGGGTAATCATATTGTAATATATAAATTTATCAAATCAACATGGTTTACACTTTAAATATACACAGTGTTATATGTTGATCTATCTCAATAACTCAATTAAAAAAAAAAACTCAAACAAAAAAATCTTTGTTTCCAGATGTTTAAATTTGAATTGAGTATAAAACACTCTTAAAATTTTTTCAACAATGAAAAATGTAAAAATAAAAAATGCTTCTAGTTTGCTGGCTATAGAAAAGCAGGTGGCAGGAAGATTTGATCCATTCCTTGATCCCCAATATAAAGATTATAATTTAGAAGAGCTGGAATAAAGTGGTAACATCCTTTAACTGCTGAGTACAAACAGAATAACTGTTACAGATAAATCTGGGTTAAATGGGTTCATTTCTTTAATATATCAAGAGCTTTAAATACTCATTAAGAAAACCTCTGATAATTCAATATAGAAAGAGTCAAATGACAAAAACAGAAAATTTACCAAAAGCTTCTACAAATACCTCTAAAGCATTGAGCAAATACTCAGCTCACTCCAAATAAAAGCAAGGTAAATTTTTAACCAAATAAATAAAATTAATAGATAAAATATTACTACTAAAGATCTTAATAAGATTATAAAAGTTGCAAATTTCCAAAAGATGTTCAATGCAAATAAAGAAAATATAGACCATATAGCAAAAGATAATTATAACACGCATAGGCACAAACACACCCACAAAGAGATAAAATTATGGGTAAGCTGTTATAGCAACAAAAATAAATGGGATAGAACATCTGTTGAAATTGCTGCCTAAAATAAAAATTGCTAATTATGAGATGCATGTAAGGAAAATGCCTAAAGATATTGAAAATAAAAATATGGCCAAGTACATATTTGGGACTTATAGTAAAAAATTTTTGAAAATCAGTCATTCAATAAAATAATGCCTCAAATATATAATATGCATCAATATTTTTGCCTAAATTTCCTTTGCATCCAGTTAAAAAAAATGAACAAAATTTACAGATACCACTAAAGCCATTTTTTTCCCTTTCCTCTCTCCTAAAGTTAGCATCTAATCTGAGGTTGGTGCAGATAATTTGCATGCATGCTTTTTATGCATTACCACAATTATTTATTGATAAATAACACAGAACATTGTTTTATGTAATTTTCAAAATTTTCAAAAGGTCTTCAAAACTCAAGCTTCTTTTGTTTGAAGACTTTTTTTTATTCGGATAAATTCTCTTACCTTCACCACCATCTCCCACACCACAACCACCCACACAATACCATCTGTGAATTTACCCAACCCTTTTATTTTTTCTGAAAACCTAAATTGTGCTTAACATTTATTGTTGCTAACTTTGTATTGTGTATTTGTATTTTACATTTAAATTTTGCTTAAAAAACCCTCCCAACAAATAACATGAAGCATAACATAGTAAAAGCTTCATGAATATGGACCAAACAATTGTAAAAGGATTCATATGACAAAAAGATCATACCACTTTATAAAAGAAAGACTTTGTGGGGCTCCTGGGTGGCTCAGTCAGTTGACTCAGCCAACTCTTAATTTTGGCTTAGGTCGTCAGTTGACTCAGCCAACTCTTAATTTTGGCTTAGGTCATGATCTCATGGTTGGTGAGTTTGAGACTTACATCTGGCTCTGCACTGACAGCATGAAGCCTGTTTGGGATTCTCTCTCTTCCTCTCCCTCTGTCCCACACACAAAAATAAACATTAAAAAAAAGACTTTGAGAAATTGATTTCAAGCAGCTACCGTATCTCCCATCTACCTCCTCTATATTTGATAACACAAACATGATAGGAGAATCATACTTCTCTTATATAACCACAATTCTTAGGTATAAAAGTGGGTTTTAACAATATTGATCCTTGGGCACCTGGATGGCTTAATCGATTAAGCATCCAACTCTTAGTTTCCGCTCAGGTCATGATGTCAAGGTTTGGGAGTTTGAGCCCCGCATTGGGCTCTGTGCTGACAGTGTGGTATCGACTTGGGATTTGCTCTCTCTTTCTCTCCCTGAAAATAAATAAATAACTTTAAAAACTATTTTTAAAAATTTTGATTCTCATTTTAGTGGTTGGACTGTAGGCAAATGCTATTAGGGACAATGCTAGCTGACACACAGACCATGGTTATACAAATGTAAATGCAGATGGGAGGACTCAAGATGACAGAAAGTAAAGGGACCCAAAGTTCCCTCGTTCCTCAAAAACAGCAGCATTGAGGCTAGAACACTTGAAATTCCAGGAATCTGGGTTACAGAGTGACAGAAACATCTCCAAGGTCCCACAGAGACAACTTGGCAGGCCACAGGTGCATGACTGCAAACTGGAGTTCACAGCATAGGCACAGAGGGGAGGGATCCCCTTCTGTAGAGAGACAAAAAGAAGTGAAAGAGAAGCTGTGGAAGTGTAGGAATGAATTTGGACAGAAGGAAAAGCATGGACCAGGGAACAGAAAAAGCGGAGAAAGAATTTCTACCTCATTCAAGTGTTGTGGGGCTTTCTGTGGACTGGGGCTTGCTGCTGTCCTGTGCACAAGCCTGGGGAAGACGGGAGCTGGCCCCTGGCTTGGTAGCCAGCTCAGAAGCACAGTCGGAGAGCATTCCTCTCCCTTGTGTGGGAAGGAGGAGTATAGTCACCAAGGACAGAAGACCATGCAGGTGTTCCCCCCGCCCCCACCAGAGGCCTTTTGTATGCTGGCTGGGCAGAGGGCTCCACCATGGAACTGGGGCATCCAGAGAGATGCATTTCAGACATCACACAAACTGACCTGCTCGTGCCCCTGCTGCACTGTGAGGAGCCAGAGACCCTTTGTCAGCTGGCTGGGGGGAATGGTGCTTCCCCACAACCAGGGTGCATAGAGTGGAACCATTTAAGACACCAAGGCTTGGATCCCAGCCGAGTGCCTAGGAGGAATGGGAGGCTATGGAGTTGGAAAAACCAGCCCTCTCGTGCCCACAAGGCACTGTGAGGACGGCTGGAACAGAGTGGTTTGGGACACCTAGTCCAGCGGGGAGAGACTGGGGTGTTGCCATTTTTCTCCCCATCACCAACAAGGTAGGGCTTCAGGGAAAGGACAACAGGCCCAAAGTGGAGGCGGGACTGCCTACACCAAACCGCCTCCCTCCATGCCTGGTAACTGCATATCTACAGGAGCAAGATTGACAATGAACCATACAGCTCCTCCTCCAAATCAGTTCACCCGCCAGTTCCAAGACACCATCAGATACTGGTCCAGTGGTTTTGCATTTTCTGATTTGCTTCTTGGTCAGTTTTTATTTTAAGCATAAAATAAATTATGCTTAAAATAATTTTATAATTATTTTAATTAAAATTATTTTATAATTATTATAATTATAAAGGTTTTACAATTATAAAGGTTCCTCCTTCTCCCCCTCCTCCTCCTCCTCCTCCTTCTTCTTCCTTTCCTTCTCTATTCTGGTTATTCTGATTGTCGGTGTGTTTAAGCAGACATTATTAACCTATTCTTTTTACACTTCTTCTGTATCTACTTTTTCTTTATTTTCCTCTCTCTCTCTCTTTCTCTGTGGATTAAGCCATATAATTTCTCTGATTCTCTGCCTGGTCAATTTTTTTTCTTTTTCTCCACTCCTGTCATTTCTCTCTTTGTACAGGATAAGACTTCTCCTCCACCACCCCTCACTTAAAATTTTTTCCCAGGTTGCTCCAAAGACAAACACAAAGCACACATAGTGGAAGGACCAAACCATCACTACAAGTAAGGAGATAAAGCAACCAGAGTTACTACAACAACAAAGAACACACAACTCACTCCAAAAACATCTCCTGAAGGGCCAGGCCCTGGAGAGTGTATGTGTATGACCTCTTTTTAATATAGTAGTGCTTGCAGGTGAAAGACACAAAACAAGCTAATAAAATGCATAAAGGACAGAGAGCAAGCCAAAATGACAAAATGGAAAACTTCTCCTCAAAGAAATTCCAAGAGAAAGTGACAGAGATTTGCTCAAAACAGATATAAACAGTATATCTGATCAAGAATTTAGAATAATAGTCATAAGATCAATAACTGAGCTTGAAAAGTGTATAGAAGGTAGCAGAGAACCTATTGCTGCAGAGAAATAGTCACAATGAATTAAGAAATGCTATAAATGAGGTGTAAAATTAGGTGCAGTGAGAGCAAGGATGGAGGAAGCATAGGGGAGAATAAGTTAAATAGAAGATAAATTATGAAAAGGATGAAACTGAGAAGAAATAAGAAAATACTAGACTATGTTGGGAGAATTAGAGAACTAAGTGATTCAAAGAAATGTAATAATATCCACATCATAGGGGTTCCAGAAGAAGAAGAGAGAGAAAGGGGCAGAAGGTTTACTTGAATAAATTATAGCTGAGAACTTCCCTAATCTGGAGAAGGGGGCAGACATCCAAATCCAGGAGACATAGAGAACTCCCTACAGATTCAACAAGAATAGGCCTTCTCCATGGCATATCATAAGGAAACTGGCATAATACAAAGATAAAGAGAGAATACTGAAAGCAGCTAGGGACAAACAGGCCTTAACTTACAAGGGTAGACAAATTAAGGATAATAGCAGACCTGTTACTGAAACTTGGCAGGCCAGAAGGGAGCATCAGAAAATATTCAATGTGCTGAATAGGAAAAATGCGCAGCCAAGAATCCTTTATACAGAAAAGTTGTATTTCAGAATAAAAGGAGAGAGAAAGGCTTTCCCAGACAAAAATTTATGAAGTTCATGACTACTAAGCCAGCCTTGCAAGAGATCCTAAGGGGGACTCTGTGAGTGGAGTGCTACAAGACTACAAAGGACCAGAGACATCACCACAAGCATGAAACCTACAGATGACATAATGACACTAAATCATATCTTTAAATAATCACTCTGAATGCATTTGGACTAAATTCTCCAATCAAAAGACATAGGGAATCAGAACAGATTAAAAAAATCAAGATACATCTATATGTTGTCCACAAGTTACTCATTTTAGACCTGAGGATACTTTCAGATTGAAAGCGAGGGGATGGAGAACCATTTTTTATACTGGAAGTCAAAAGGAAGCATGAGTAGCCATGCTTCTATCAGACAAACTATATTTTTAACTAAAGTCTGTAACAAGAGATGAAGAAGGGCATTATATTATAATAATGGGGTCTATCCATCAAGAAGAGCTAACAATTATAAAGGTTTCCTCCCCTAACTAGGTACACGCAAATATATATATCAATTAATCACAAACCTAAGCAATTTTATTGACAAGAATATGGTAATTTCAGGGGACATTAATACTCCACTTACAGCAATGGACAGATCATCTAGGCAGGAAATCATTAAAGAAATAATGGTCTTGAATGATACACTGGAACAGAAGGATTTGACAAATATATTTATAATTTTTCATCCAAAGGAAACAGAATACACATTTCTCTCAAGTGTACATGAGACATTCTCCAAGATAGAGAACATACTGGGTCACAAAACAGCCATCAATAAATGTAGAAGAACTGAGACCATACCATGTATATTTTCAGATCACAAGTATATGACACTTGAAATCAACCACAAGGAAAAAAGATTGGAAGGCCTCCGAATTCGTAGAGGTTAAGGAATATCCTACTAAAGTATGAGTGGGCCAACTAGGCAAATAAAGAATAAATTAAAAAATATATGGAAAAAATGAAAATGAAAACATGACAGTCCAAACCCTTTGGAATGCAGCAAAGGCAGTCCTAAGAGGAAAATACATTGCTATCCAGGTCTATCTCAAGAAACAAGAAAAATCCCAAATACAAAACCTAATCCACACCCAAAAGAACTAGAAACAGAACAACAAAGCAACCCCAAGTCCAGCAGAAGAAGAAAAATAATAAAGATTAGAGCAAAATTAAACAATATAGAATAAAAAAAACATTAGAACAAATATATGAATCTAAGAGCTGTTTTTTTAAAAATAAACAAAATTGATAAACCCTTAGCCAGACTTCTCTGAAGTCTGAGAAAAGATAGAGAACACAAATAGATAAAATTATGAATCAAAGAGGAAAGATCACCACCAATACCACAGAAATCAAACAATTATTAGAGAACACTATGAAAAATTATATGCCAACAAACTGGGCAACCTGGAAGAAATGGAGAAATTTCTGACACCCACACACTACCAAAACTCAAAAGGCAAGAAATAGAAAATTTGAACGAACCCATAATCACTAAAGAAATTGACTCACTTATCAAAAATCTCCCAACAAATAAGAGTCCTTGGCCAGATGGATTCCCAGGGGAATTTTACCAGACATTTGAAGCAGAGTTAATACCTATCCTTCTCAACCTGTTCCAAAAAGTAGAAAAAGAAGAAAAACTTCTGGACTCATTCTATGAAGCCAGCATTACCTTGATTCCCAAACCAGATAAAGACCCCTCCAAAGAAGGAGAATTACAGGCCAATATCCCTGATGAACATGGATTCATAAATTTTCAATAAGGTATTAGCAAATCAAATTCGAAGTATATTAAAAGAATTTTTCAGCATGATCAAGTGGGATTCGTTCTTGGCTCTGTATGGCTGGTTCAATATTTGCAAATAAATCAATGTGATATATCGCATTAATAGAAGAAAGGATAAGAACCATATGATCATGTCAATAGATGCAGAAAAAGCATTTGACAAAATATAGCATCCTTTTTTAATAAAAACCCCTCAAGAAAGTCGCAATAGAAGGAATGTACCTTAACATCATAAAAGCCATATATGAAAAGCCCACAGTTAATATTATCCTCAGTGGGGAAAAACTGAGAGCTTTCCCCCAAGATCAGGAACACAACAAGGATGTCAACTCTCACCACTGTTGTTTAATATAGTGTTGGAAGTTCTAGCATCACCAATCAGACAACAAAATGAAATAAAAAGCATCCAGTTTGGTAAAGAAGAAGTCAAACTTCCACTTTTTGCAGATGACATGATACTCTACCTAGGAAACCCAAAAGACTCCACCAAAAAGCTGCTAGAATATGAACATGAACATGAACATGAATTCAACAATGTCACAGGATACAAAATCAATGTACAGACATCAGTTGCATTTCTACACACCATTAATGAAGCAGCAGAAAGAGAAATCAAGAAATCAATCCCATTTACAATTGCTCCAAGAACCATAAGATACCCAGAAATAAACCTAACCAAAGATATAAAAGATCTGTATGCTGAAAACTATAGAAAACTTATGAAAGAAATTGAAGATGACACGAAGAAATGGAAGACCATTCCACGGCTCATGGATTGGAAGAACAAATAGTGCTAAAATGTCAATACCATCAACGCAATCTACACATTCAATGCAATCCCAATCAAAATTGCAATAGCTTTCCTCTCAAAGCTAGGACAAACAATCCTAAAATTTGTATGGAACCACAATAGACCCCAAATAGCCAAAGTTTTGTTGAAAAACAAAACCAAAGCACGAGGAATCACAATCTCGGACTTTAGCCTCTATTACGAAGCTTTAATCATCAAGACAGTATGGTATTGGAACAAAAACAGACGCATTGATCAATGGAATAGAATAGAGAACCCAGAAATGGACCCACAGATGTATGGCCAACTAGTCTTTGACAAAACCAGAAAGAGTATCCAATGGAAAAAAGAGAGTCTCTTTAGGAAATGATGCTGGGAGAATGGGACAGCCACATGCAGAAGAATGAAACTGGACCACTTTCTTGCACCCTACACAAAAATAAACTCAAAATGGATGGAAGATTTAAATGTGACACAGGAAACCATCAAAACCCTAATGGAGAACACATGTAACAACCTCTTTGTCCTCGGCCACAGCAACTTCGTACTTGACATGTCTCAGAAGGCAAAGGAAGTAAAAGCAAAAATGAACTATTTGGACCTCATGAAGATAAAATGCTTCTGCACATCTAAGGAGACAATCAACAAAACTAAAAGGCAAATGATAGAATGAGAGTTGATATTTGCAAATGACATACCGGATAAAGGGTTAGTATTCAAAATCTATAAAGAACTTACCAAACTCAAAACCCGAAAAACAAATAATCCAGTGAAGAAATGGGCAAAAGACATGAATAGACATTTTCCAAAGAAGACAATCAAATGGCCAACAGACACATGAAACGATGCTCAACATCACTCATCATCAGGGAAATACAAATCAAAACCACATTGAGAGACCACCTCACACTGGTCAGAATGGCTGAAATTATCAAGTTAGGAAAGAA